CGTCACAGGTCGCGTGTCGTGCATGCCTTTGTGCCCGAGAGACGAAGGCAGTCGGCCGCAGGCCAGGGCTCAACACTCAAGGTGGGCGAGCTGCTGCCTAGCGACGCTGCTAGCGTTGCTGCTGCCCAGGCAGCCAGTGCAGCCGAGCACCTCGGCATTGGCCGATTTCGTGTTGGCGTCGACGCCTCCTCCACCGGAGCTGCCGCACCCGCTGCACCCGACGTAGCACAACGCCGAGGGTCAGCACAGCGCAGCACGCCAGAGGCTGACGGCCGCCGACGCAGCCATTTCTCACGACGCGTCGCGCGGATCGATCCTTCCCCCGCGGAAGGGTCGAACTGGCTGGTGATGCCTGCTCGATCCAACGGCAACGAAATCGGCTCCGTCTTGTGACAAGGCCTTGTGTATGAATACAGTATAAATGCAAAAATCACGTAGACTACTCACGCGATGAACACCTCTGCAAAACGATCCAGAACTCTCACGAGGAGTCCGAGGAGTCCGAGTTCGGCCGCTCCGAATAATTTACTTCAGCGCGGCGCCGCCTGCCCTTCATGATATTGCGCTGGTCAACGTCGTCAGAGTCGACGTCCGAGCTCTCACTGGCGCTGCCGCCGTCGTCGCCCACGTCATCACAATCTCTGTCGCTGCGAGCGCTGCTGAAGAGAGAAGAGTGTGAGACGTCAGCAGGATCGCTGGCCGACAGCGCTCGCAAGAGCTCGCGCCGGGAGCGGCAACGGCGGCTCGGGTCGTCGCGCCGATAGGCGTAGTAGTCGCCGACCGCGCTGCTCTTGTTCACCCTCGCAATCCACTGTACATGCCACCCGCCGCTCACGCGCACCGTCATGTTGGGCGCAGCCTCGTCCTTCAGCCGCTGCACCACCGCAAGCAGCTCATCAAGCTGAGCCGCGGCCGCGGGGGCCAGCTCGTAGCCGTCCACCATTTTTGTGGCGTTGCTCGTCGTCTTCTGGTCGCGCGGTCGCCGCGGGGCTGGTGACGAGCTGGGCGACTCGCAACCACGGTGAGTAGGCTCTGACGGCGCCGCCGCCGCAGCCAACAACGGTGCTGCCGCCCTCAACGGCGCCGCAGCTACCGCCGGCGCCGCTGCCCTTGGCACCGGCGCCGCAGTCGCCGCCGGTGCCGCTGCCAGCGTCTCCCACCCGCCCTCGCTCTCGCCCTCGCTGCTGTCGTCGCGCACCACTGGCCGCCTCCTCTTGCGAGGCGTGTCCCGCGCGCTGGCTCGTCGGACGGTGGCAGTGGAGGGCGCGGCAGCGGAGGGCGCGGCAGCGGAGGGGGCTGGGGCGGAGGGCGCGGCAGCGGAGGGGGCGGCGGCGGAGGGGGCGGCGGCGGACGGGGCGGCGGCGGACGGGGCGGCGGCGGAGCGGGCG